TCCATTGCTGCTTACGTGCGCAAAAGCTACTCAAACATGCAGTTCAGTAAACAGTACAACTAGCACATGCACACTGAATTGACATATTGCATTGTATTCTGGGATGATGTATAAAATAATGACAATGCATTGTATATTAACGAATTTGAATTGTACAATGTGTATGCACACAATGCACTGTATAATAACGAGTATGTACTGTATAATAACAAGTTACCAGTGTGTAATAACGAGTATACAGTGTATAATAACGAGTATGCAATGTATAATAACGAGTATGCAATGTATAATAACGAGTATGCAGTGTATAATAACGAGTATACAGTGTATAATAATGAGTATGCAGTGTATAATAACGAGTATGTACTGTATAATAACAAGTTACCAGTGTGTAATAACGAGTATACAGTGTATAATAACGAGTATGCAATGTATAATAACGAGTATGCAGTGTATAATAACGTGTATGCAGTGTATAATAACGTGTATGCAGTGTATAATAACGAGTAAGCGATGTATAATAACGAGTATGCAATATATAATAACGAGTATACAGTGTATAATAATGAGTTAGCAGTTTGTAATAACGAGTATGCAGTGTATAATAATATAAGCGATGTATAATAACGAGTATGCAATGTATAATAACGAGTATGCTGTGTATAATAACGAGTATGCAGTGTATAATAACGAGTATGCAATGTATAATAACGAGTATACAGTGTATAATAATGAGTATACAGTGTATAATAACGAGTATGCAGTGTATAATAACGAGTATGCAGTGTATAATAACGAGTATGCAATGTATAATAACGAGTATACAGTGTATAATAATGAGTTAGCAGTGTGTAATAACACGTATGCAGTGTATAATAACGAGTATGTAGTGTATAATAACAAATAAGCACTGTATAATAACGAGTATACAGTGTATAATAATGAGTTAGCAGTGTGTAATAACACGTATGCAGTGTATAATAACGAGTATGTAGTGTATAATAACAAATAAGCACTGTATAATAACGAGTATACAGTGTATAATAACGAGTGTGCAGTGTATAATAACGAGTAAGCAACGTATAATATAGACTATACACTGAATAATAACGAGTATACAGTGTATAATAATGAGTATACAGTGTATAACAACGAGTATGCACCGTATAATATAGACTATACACTGAATAATAACGAGTATACAGTGTATAATGACGAGTATACAGTGTATAACAACGAGTATGCACCGTATAATATAGACTATACACTGAATAATAACGAGTATACAGTGTATAATAACGAGTATGCAGTGTATAACAACGAGTATGCACCGTATAATATAGACTATACACTGAATAATAACGAGTATGCAGTGTATAATAACGTATATGCACTGTATAATAACGAGTATACACTGTATAATAACGAGTATGCAGTGTATAATAACGAGTATGAACCGTATAATAACGAGTATGCAGTGTATAATAACGAGTAAGCACTGTATAATATAGACTATACACTGTATAATAACGAGTATGCTGTGTATAATAACGAGTATGCAGTGTATAATAACGAGTAAGCACCGTATAATATAGACTATACACTGTATAATAACGAGCATGCATTGTATAATAACGAGTATGCAGTGTATAATGATATATATCCACATAAGACAGTTTTGGCGTGCCATA